TAGTAGTAATTGCACATCCCAGCCGTCAAACTTGAACAATACTTCATTGAGCTGCAGTGCTAGCAATTTGCGCTCGAATCGTCTTCAGACCTCTGTCATCCAGCAAGCCCAAGCTCAGCTCTTGGCCCAGCAATATCAGCAACAGCAGCAGCAGCAAGTTCTTCATCCTGGCCCCGGAATTTCCAAGCAATTTCTGGCAAGCGAGCCTGGATTAACTGTTAACTCCACGACTGATGATAACGGCCCTATATATCCTACTGAGAAGGTACTCACACTCTATGCATTCACGCGCAATCAAATCGAGGAGTTGTCTTTCGAGGCAAATGAAGTATTGGAAGTGATCGAGAAGCCGGCAGATGACCCAGATTGGTGGAGGTGCCGAAACTCACGCGGCGACCTTGGCCTGGTTCCACGAAATTATGTCAGACTCATCATTTCAGCGCCTAATCCCTCTCTGACCGTGCCTGAACAGACTCAGGCTATTTCTCCGGCTATGATGGTGGGCCAGCGTCATCAGCCATTTCATCTACAAAAGCAACATCATCTACAGGAACTTCAGCAGGGCAGCATTATTAACCAGAGCGCCGGAGTGGCCCTCTCTCCGAAGCCAAATCCATCACATTCATCACCTCAAACGTTCATCAAACCTCAGCAACAGGTATATTTTACTTTATATTTGGTATATATTAATAGTAAACGTAATATGAGGGTTTAAAATCTTCAATACACTATACTTCTAAGTGAGGGAAGTGTCAATGATGAGGAATCCTTTCATTATGGAACATTCTCACTTAGTTAATAGGTGCGAACATTAGCTGAAGTGGGTTGACCTCGTGGTCTCAACTTAGTCTTGTTGTCAGAGTGACTATGTAGAACACAGCTACTCCGAAGTCGTCTGCCCTAGTAGTTGTCATGACTCCCAGAGACAATTAAAGTCAATGCCTCGACAACCGTTCTGCCGAAAACGGTTAGACTATCACTCCTCTTTCTGTCATTGTCTATCTATCTACTCTTTACCCTTTTATCCCACTGCCGCCCTGTCATAAGTTCTCACTTTTTTACATTCAAATCGTCAAAATGCATGCCCTTTTGTGGCAAACCGAATATGGCTTCATCACACTTGCTATTTACCCCGACCGTTCTCTTTCGATGGGCTTATCCGACTCGGGCCTCCAACCCGGATCCTTCTATTGTCTCGTATATCCGTTCCTTATCCTTCTGGTTGACCGATTTCACTTGGGTCCAGTCATTGTGTGCATTTCTAACCCGTCGTTATTTCTCAAGGCCCTAGAAGCACATACACTGTCGCTTGGCTGAGTGGAGCGATTAAGCTCTAATTCCCATGCTTGCAGATATCAGGCCTTCCCTACACTGGTCGTCTCTTTGATTAGACCCATGTTATCTGAGCAAATGTGGACGTCTATCTCTGGTCACATGTGGCATCTCAAGTGGATTTATAATGCATTTTGGTCAGAAATCCTAATTTCTGTGACGGTGTGCTTATCCGTCTGCCCAGCCCCCTGACTGCCAGGCCCCCAAAGTTGTACTGGTTTATTCAAATGGCCATTGCTCACTGACACCGTCTTCGTTTAATTTCCAAATACCCCTGACCCACACTTTTGTCATCGCAATCCCTTTTCTGTGACCTTAAGAGACCCTACCACTTGAAAAAGGTTAATGAATATCTCCAATAGGCTTCTATTCATATATTTAGTGAAGCATATGATACTGAACGCAATAAGTTGTTTAAGTTTATTGATATTAAGTGAAAGTTCCGGCGTGAATTGGCCAGGATCCTGTATCCGGAAGATTTTCAAAAACTCCATAGCATGACGGATAGGAAATCACGTAGGATTTGTGACTTAATAACCAAACGGCAATGACGATAAGTTGTGTAAGTTTAGGATTATTTGACAGCCTAAGTTAAGGTCAGTACGGCCAGTTGAAGTGGTTTCCAAAGTTACAACACTTACTGAACAGATCGGGGATAGGAAGAAAGTCGTAAACTTATCATCAATACCTCTCAATCCCGAAACAACCGCGTTCCTGTAAAAAGGACTCAATTTTTCAATTCAACATCACAGGAGCCTTCTAGGAGACATCCTAGTCGAGGTTATCTTTGTGCGGAGAATGGCAAGGCTCACTGATGATGCCGATTACGATGCTGGCGAAACATTTGAGAATGTATCAATCTACATTCCTACATTTCTTAATCACCCTTATTTATATCTTGACTCAAGACATTCATCATCTCTTCTCTCTATCTGACTCCTTTTTTTAATCCTTATTACCTACTTTCTAAAATTTGTCTCAATTTTATGCTTGCACTTCTTTTTGCTGACATTACCTTTCGCGTAAGTTTATTTCCTTATTATTTTAGAAATTCCTTTTTGGCTATTATTCTCATTTGCACTATTATACGTACAATTAATAATTTCTTTTATTAGTCTGCCAGCTGTCATATAAACTAACTTGATCTTTTTATTTCATCTTTTATTTGAAACTGCCTCTTTTAATGAACTCCTTATCCATTTTGTTTTTGTGTTGTTTATAACTTTTCATATCTTGAATTTAGAACGTTGAGCCTCAAAATTAACTCATACGTTTTTAAGGAAACGGATTTTTCTTTTCTCCTGTTTTTATTAGGCTCCTAAGCTAATACTCCATGACATAGGGTTTTGCTCTAAAATTTGTTATTTTGTCATAATGCTAACTTCTTTATTTCACTGTAGCCATGTATTTTATTAGTACAGCCAGCTACCCAAGCTGGTGAATAGAATAAATAGATGAAGCCTTACAGTAAAGTTGACACGTTTTCATTGTCAAGTGTCCGTGATTGGCATGATGAAAAATGATGGTTTTTTAAAATTCTTTGTTCTATTTGCAGGTACTTAGAGATACATAATTAATCTTATTAACAGGCTCTAAGGCGAATCAGCAGGTGGATTTCCAGAATACTTGTTAATTAAATGTTTACACCACTAACATCACCTAATAGTAGTAGATCTTTCTATCGAATGCACACATCAACTTTCTCCATAAAACTAGGACACTACACCTCTGAAAATAATTGCCCAGCAGCATACGCACACTGTCAGCAAGACCCACATAAAATCTTTCTGAACTGTTCAATTCATTACTATTATTATTATGCTGTTCTATTCTTTTTTTAGAATTAAGACTATTTCTAACCACTTGCTACTATGTGGGCCGGGTATATGGTCCATTTATAAATAATTTTAAGCCTTAACTTTTTAAAAGTTTCCTTGTTCATAATGAATTGTGATTATGTCAATACAATGTGGAATGGTTTTAAATGAGTATGGCTGTCTGTGTCCTGAATATTTTGTCCTTTCACTGAGTACAAAGTTTTTTTACACAAGCTAATAACTTCACTTACAGCTAGCTCTAATAATCGTCTATTCCCTTTTATATGATATAATATGATTCTATGATAATTTTTGAATTTGATATTGAATGTCATTAATATTTATTCTTTAGCTATCCATGGTTTTATCTTAACCTTTATTTTTGTTTATGATTCGTATTGTTTATTTTTAGATTTCCTGCCTTCTTTGTTTCCAAATTTCTTATATTACTTTGATTACAGCGCCCTTATCAGCATTTAGAGCCTGGATATCAAGACGGAGAGACCCTGCGCCTTGATTACGCCAGTCGATCTCTTGCAGCCCGTTTGTCTGCGGACAAGCCTTGGTGCTGGGGGGTAATTTCAAGGGCTGATTGTGAGAGCATGCTTACCGAATTCGCCTTGCCTGGGGAGTTTGTCGTGCGAGACAGTGAATCTCACGTGAGCCACTGTTTCAGCCATTTTCTTATTTCATTTTGTACACATTTCTCGATATATCTTCGTTTCCTACCCATAAATCAAAGGATATATTTGTAAATGTTACAAGCACACTTCCTTACAAATTGATAATAACTGAAATTTAATTTTGATGATGCCTCTTATTTTAAACATCATGAATTATCATCTAATAAATCCAGCTTCTACTATTAAAAAAAGTCAAAATTTTCCATTTGGCTAATACATACATACATACATACATACATACATACATACATACACACGCATATATATTATATATATATATATATAGTTAAACAGGTTTTTGTTAAACAGGTTTTTCTTATTTAGCAGAAGTTTTCTTTCCGTTCCTTATCTTTATTATTGACCGATTTCACTCGGTCACGTTTCGCCGGCATCGTAGTCAGCATCATCATTAAGTTTTGCCATTCTCCGTGCCAAGCTACGAACTCGTTAAAGAGACAAGTGAAGTCAATCCCTCGACAACTGTTCTGCTGAAAACGGTTACATTATCACTCCTCCTCGTCTGCCATAGTAGTTGTCATGATTCCCAGCATCTGACAGTGGACTTGATACATTCTCAAACGTTT